CCATAATTAACCTCAGTGTGTGAAGAGGACTCTCCATTTACATGAACAAATTGGAGTCTATTAGATAGATGTGATACAAACCACTGCAGTGCAATACCTGTAATACCTGCAGCATGTTCTAATCGCTCTAATAGGATGTTATGGTCAACAGCATCCAACGCTGCACTGAGGTCAAGCAGGACAAGCACAGAGACGAGTCCACTGTCAGCAGCCATAAGAAGATCATTTGTAACCTTCACTAAAGCTGTGATGAGCTCTGAAACCTGACTGAAATTCTTCAAATAAACCATTCCTCTGCAGATGATCTGTTAGCTGTTTGACAACTACTCTTTCAAGGATTTTTGATATGAAAGGAAGGTTGGAGATTGGCCTATAGTTAGCTAAGACTGCTGGGTCTAGAGATGGCTTTTTGAGTAAAGGTTTAACTGCAGCCACCTTGAAGGCCTGTGGTACATAGCCGATTATTAGAGATAGTTGATCATATTTAAGATCGAAGCATTAATTAATGGCAGGACTTCTTTGAGCAGTTTTTACAATAAGATAACTGAACTGTATGTGTGCCATCCAGCGCATGCTGCTGAATCTCTGACATGTTCTTCTACAGTCAAATCATCCCACTGGTTCCTCAACGAGGCTCCTCCCAGAAGTGTACGGAGAACAAGCCTGGACCTATCTTAAGTTTTCGAGGTCTTCTCTTTCCAAAGCCATCGACTGTTTCCGTAAAGCACTTGAGGTACAGACTCACGACAGTGAGTGGAATGCCGGCTACGCCATCGCCCTCTTTCGCACAGAACAGGTCAGTTTTATAGGAAGTATGAAGACGCAGGTCAGTTCAGTGTCAGTGTACATTACTCAGTAATGACAGTTTAAAACAAGAACATTTCAACAGGGTACATTAATGGGTTTTGTATCTGCAGAGGACTTTGGAAAACTTAAAGAAAGGTGAAGAGTCCCCGGCCATCACGCAGCTTCGCTTGGCCCTGGAGATCAACCCTGATGATGCAGTTCTGCAGTCCATGCTGGCTGTGAAGCTGGGCGCCTATAAGGAATACCAAGAAGCTGAGGAACTGTTGAATAAAGCACTGAAAACTGATCCTGACAATCCTCATGTCAACCGCTATATAGGAAAATTTTTTCGTAATCAGGTAGGTGTGAGTGTACAGACCATTCAGGGTCCTGGGCTCAGCTGAAAGTATCGCGTTGCTATGAAAAGCAGCCAGAGACAGATCATCATAACTGTTTCATACAGAGAAATTACAAAGAAAGAAAGGTCATTCTGTTCCAGGGCAGAGGCGGAGCCAGGCCCTAAAGGGTAGTATGCATGTGGGAGGGGGAGGGAGGGTTTAGAAATGACTGAAATGGTTAAATGGTAAATGGTCTGTATTTATATAGCGCTTTTCTAGTCCCTAAGGACCCCAAAGCGCTTTACATATCCAGTGATCCACACACACATCCACACACTGGTGATGGCAGCTACATTGTAGCCACAGCCACCCTGGGACGCACTGACAGAGGCGAGGCTGCCGGACACTGGCGCCACCGGGCCCTCTGACCACCACCAGTAGG